TCTTATCCTACCTGATCTACGCCCTCGTATGCTTACTTCACCAGCCTATCATCAAGTCTAAACCAAATCCTCATCAGACGAGATAAGCTGTTTCATCAGACTGGATAAGCACTACATCCGCGATATCACAACTCTGCCCTCACGTCCCCGCACTATGCAGCTGTATGACCAACTCCGCCTCTGTCCGCCTGTCGTGCGGGCTGTTTGCATTTTCCGTGTTCTCATGCACCGCATTCCTCATGGCAATGTCAGTTTGCTGCTCTAATCACGCCTGGAATACAGTCCGCTGCCCCGTGCCACCAAAGGTAAGGATGACTGCAACCTGCCCCTTCCAAACATCCGCAGTACTTTGGGATCTCAAAAGCCAGTATTTGCTGCTGCTCAGTTGTGGAACCTATCAAAAGTATACTTTCATGGCTAATGCTAGGATTTTCTCCATCCCGAGAGATCTCTAGGCCCAGTGTTTTCTCCACCTATCCATTTTATCCTATAATTTTACTTGTATCCGTTTGGGAATGATTGTCCGTTTAGGGATGGTCATCCATTCGGGAATGATACTACAAGCACCACTGTGATCCAGTTCTTGAGCATACCAAGACCAATGCAAGAGCATCCTGCACCCGAGGATAACGTGCCTGAAGCTAGAGATACTTCATACGCCAACATCTCTCCTCAGGACCTCAAGATCAGTATTCTGTGGGATTTCACCATCCGGTGCGATCGCTTCGTTCAGCACCGACGGCCTGATATTTTTCTGGTTGATGTACCTCCTAAGCAGGCCGTGATCATTGACAGTGCTTCGCCTGTTGATCCAACGTGTTGCTGAAAAGGAAGTTGAGAAACGTGCCAAATATCAACTTCCTGCTCGCGAAATCCATCGGATATGGCAAGTTGAGACTCAGATTGTTCCTGTGGTAGTTGGGAATTTGTGGACTGTTTCAAAACAATTGCCAGGATACCTTGGCAACAGTTGCCAGGCTACTTCGATACCATCGATATCACAAGCTACTGCTCTGTGTATGAACTGCAAGAGAATGCTCTCCTTGGCTCGGCAGCCATCTTGCGTAAGGTACTTGATTTGTACTGCTCTTGGGTGGGTGGTGGAGTTCTTTCGGTCCCATTTTCCTCTAAACCCTCTCGAGTTTACTATGACCGATAGGAAGTGTTGTGTGCTGCTCTCTGTTGGTCAACTACCATCATATTTAATACGCATGCCCCCACCTTTGGCTGCTGGATGCTAGCCCGGTGGGTGTCTATCTCCGGGCTTTGGCCGAGTGCTGATGGATAATAATTGTGGATTTGCGGGATTGTGGATTGTGGATTTCCTGTTCACAGTGTTTCTATCTTTTTTTCTTTCAAGTTTCTTTTTCTCAGTCTCCTTTATTATAATTTTCTTCACATACAGCTTATCACATACAAAAGCAGCCCTCCCCATCGCCTTACGCGACCCGGAATACTGCATAGTCCAGACACAAAACCAATAAAGCCGCCCCTATAATGCTTCGAAAACTCAAATTTTACTCACACCTGTCGGAGCCGCTGCACCTGTGGCAGCTGGATGGTTGTATTGTGTACCAGGACATAACTCATTGATCAATATTAATATAATAAAAAATCACGGTTCGTGTGAGAGTCGGCGGCAAGCCGAGTTTTCCGCATCCGTAGGAACGCCACCACCCTCTAGGATCAAGGCGCAGATGCAGTGCCTAAACTTTGGGAGGTGAGTAGAGCTGACCCACCACAAAGTGGTCAAAGACCGAAGTCCCATTAACTGCATCCATGACATATTCCGTGAAGATGTTATCTTGTAACAGTATATGAATGTAAACAACATACCTGTGGAAACATAACTATTCAGGAATTCATGATGCTAACACGAAACCCCTCGATAAACCGATTTCCACAGCAGAGGTAGCGAGCGCAATGAGTCGTCTAAAGAACCAACGCTCCTGCGGGCCTGATGACATACCGGCCGAGCTGGTCAAATACGGAGGCCCTGCACTTGCAGAATGCCTAAGCAGCATTTTCAACGATGTATTCACTCAGCACAGCCAAGCGTCCCTTGGAGATGGTGTACTAATCGCTCTGCATAAGCCAGGTAAACCGAAAGGCCCCATGAACAATTTGCGTCCGATAACATTGCTGACTACTGCCAGAAAAATCTTGTCCCTCATCACACTTAGCCGGATCAGAGCTGACGTAGAGCGATATATATCTCCATCGCAAGCCGGGTTCCGTCAAAACAGATCAATTGCAGACATTGTGTTTTGCAAACGGATCCTGGCATCAATTGTTGAACGCTTCAACACTACTATCTACGTACTAGGGCTGGACCTGAGCAAGGCTTTTGACACAATAAACCGCACAAAGCTGCTTGATGTCATGGAGCAAGAGGAAATTGGAGACGCGGACGGTTTACGACTGGTTAGGTACCTGCTATCTGGCACGGCGCTGACAGTTCGCGTGAACGAAGCACAGTCCGCATCTTTTGAGACAGCTCGGGGGGTCCCCCAGGGCGATGGTTTGTCACCGGTACTGTTCACGGTTTATTTGGAAGCAGCCCTACGAATGGTACGTGACCGACTGCCAGCCCGACCATCAGCAGACAACATTCTACCTGAAGAAACAGCTTACGCCGATGACGTAGACTTCATCTCCACATCAAAATCATTCCTTACCAGCGCCCTACCCGTCATCGCAGGCGTCTTCTCCGAATGGGGTCTTACCGTCAATACCAGTAAGACTGAGTGGATCCGTATTTACCTGGAACCCACTTTGGGAGATGCCACCTCTACTACATCTAGAAAGGTCGGCACAACTCGTGGTAAAGAAGCTTGGCGACAGGTGAAGACACTCGGCTCGCTATACGGCTCCGGGGAGGACGTAACGCGCCGTATTGGCTTGGCCGCAAGAGCATTTGGAGACACTCTGAAGTTATGGTTCAAACACAACCTGCTTTCTACACCCATCAAAATTCGTTTATACAACACTTTCGTTCTACCAATCTTGACCTACAACCTTGCTTGCCATGGCCTGTCCCATGGTCCCGTGCACAAGAAAAGCGCCTAGATGTGTTTCATAGGAAACAGCTGCGGTGTACCCTTGGAATTACCTACCCAGATGTCATCTCGAATGCAGATTTATATGCTGTTACTGGCCAGTGCTCTGTATCTGAAATGGCCAAGCGGGACAGGTGGAAGCTATTAGGACATATATTACGCCAGCCAAGTGACATCCCTGCAAATGTTGCTCTCACTGCTTTCTGTACATGTGCTACCAGTCAGCCCTTTCGAATAGGTGCACCCCGCTCTTGCCTCACCACAAGTCTCCAGCGAGACGTCCGCCTCACACCTATCTGCATTTTTAAGCCCAGCTGCCTTCGTGATCTCGGCAACTATGCCCGCGACAGAAAACAATGGAGTAACATCTGCTGAGCCATTTAGTCTAGTACTGCTCTTCTTAAATTTGACCTTTATTACAAGGCTCTTCTTTTCTTTCTCATTTCGTTCTCCCACTCTCACCCACACATGCTCACGGTTAATTCTGCCGTCGTGAGTCCCATCCGGGACGGATACGAGAATAATAATAATAATAATAATAATAACACGACCGGTGACTACAATAATCATGAGCTCAACTCCAAAACATTTCTTGCAGTTTACATTTCTACAGTTTGTAGCTTGGTTCCTCCGGCATCCTGAGAGTCTCAATACAACTTGCAGCCTTATTAAAAAAACACGAGCCGTGTGGCATGACTCCAACGCCAGATACACTCGACTTTCGGGACAAAGGTATCTGCCGTTTTAGTCATGCCACATGGTTCGTGTAGTTTTGTGTTCATGAACCTGTGGAGAGGTTGATGGGAATTAATTGAGTGCTGGCATAACATACATACATACATGACTGGCAGGGCAGGATTGGGCCTCTTTTCTGTTTCTTTTCCTTTTCATTATTTTTGCCATAGAAGTGCAGTGTGTGTACTGAGTGCCTAGCTCCTGTACTGACCTGGCTAGGCTGTACATCATGTACGTAGATGTTGTTCGCCGTGTCCGTCAAAAAAAGAAAAAAAAGAATCAATGGGGTATCACTTGGATATTACGGCCACCATCTTCACTTTCGCTGTAACCGTATTGATTGAATCGTAGAAGAAAATGTCCAGACTTAGCTAAGCAGTGAGCTATGAGAGGAACAGCACAACTCAGCTTTCAATCAGCAGGAGCGGTGGGGAGAGGTGAACGATTGGCACATAGATAAGGAGAATGAATGTTGACGAGTAAAAGTGGCCGGTGTTAGTGTAGAAGTAACGTGTTAGATGTAGCACACGCATGAAGTGATGTTACAGAGCCTGAGCACGAAACCTGTTACATTCACAATGCACTCTTGGTGTCTCCATTTTTTGCCTGGCTCTAGCTTATGTCCAGGGCCGCCCGCATGACCGGTATTAGTTGCCAGATGATCTTGATTCCGACTTGAAATTTGCAGTCGCCTTTGAAGACTTGTGTTCATCATCTAGGTATTCTGCATATCAATACAAATGGTTCTCCTTTACATACACGTTGAACCGGTCGCTCCTGAGAACTACAGCAATTTCCTTTTTTTCATGGTTTATTAGTAAATCAGTATGGATGCGATGTAACTGCTGACAAGGACTGCGTGGTCGGTGTTGTCTGCGGTTCGAAGAAATGCCCAGCCGAGAACAGCGATGCTTGGTACGCTATAGCCATTGGTCCGTTCTTGTCGCTGTGAAAAATGGAAATAAATACATCAAGAATTGCCTTGGATCAACGCTGCACATCCCACGTTTTTCTAGAATTTGAAACATGTTGACGAATTCGTATTACATCTTCATAAGTCAAACGCATCCGTCATAAAAGTTAGCGTTGATTAATTCTGATAAATGACGTTTTACAATTTAATGTCTCTTCCAGCCATGTGGCTCGATATAATAGAGCTTTCTCTCAAACCAGTTAATATAATTAAGTCCATTGACTTTCATTAACTTACGATAAGATATTGTCGATGACATGATCTTTCGGTAGTCCCCACGCGCAACTAAGGTTTTCAACAACGGTGCGCTCCAATTGCGACGGGTGATTTAGTGGCGTGTAGCTCTTGTATTCCCTTAGCTTAGGCACTAGCTTGGTCCAGTTTCCTGAGTCAAACCACGCGAAGCGCAGAGCATCCGCTGCGCATGGTCTATCATTTGCGTCGTACGCCAGGCAGCGGTGGAGAAGATCGCGAAGTGGCTGCGAGGAGCGCTCGGGACCTACGAAAACTGTCCATGGCTCTTCGCACATACCAGCCCGAACGATATTGAGTTGGTCTGGTACGTTAACGCCCACAACTACGCCAAAAGGACCTTTGTTGAATAGAACTTCGTAGAACATACTGGCACTGTGAAAGAGGAAAAATAACATAACGGCGTTACGACATTGTAAAGTTTCCCAGTGGGTGATGTTGAAATGCGATGACATGCGCTGGGCTTGTTACTTCTGTCTTGTTTATTGAATATACAATACATTTTACAACTACAAGCACAGTGGCCTTGCGTAGATTGCCGATATTCCCACATACATGTTCATCGTTATCTAGTCTGCCAAGCATTTGGCTATACAAACACACAGAGGTTACAGTCGCACCATTCTCGTTCAGGTTTTGTTACTTACCACAAAAAGATGTCGCATTTGTGGTCGATACCAAGCTGTTTGTCTACCATCTCCGGAGGGTACGCATAGTCACTTTTTCTCTCCATGCCCGGTTTCTCTGGGTTGAAGGTCTTCACCCACCCAAAATCGATGAGGATAGCCTTGTTCTTCTCCGCAATCATCACGTTATTCTCATACAGATCGCTGTGAAGGAAAAGATGTGAAATGCATCAATTACTCATAGATCACTCCATAACCAGTATTTCGCTCCTGCTCTTGTATTGCTTGAGCTCTCCCATGTGGGGTATTGACTTTGCTGTTTGCGTTATGCAGACCTCACTGACTTGTCGTTGATGAAATTATAATGGTGGTAAAGACACACCTGGCAATAAAATAATGGTGGTAAAGACACACTTGGCAATATGGCGGTAAACACACTCCTGCCCACACACGCTCTCTAAGCTGGAAAGTTCTGGCACAGAGCTCTCCTTCTCACCACCGCCACCATCAGTTCGCGCCTGGCGCCTCGTGGATGCATGGTTGGCGGTATCCGACATAGCAGGCTGGTACATCAAATAGCACATGGCACATAGAAGATGACACAGCAACGACATAGCTCGATTGCGACGTACGTTTCGTCCCCGCTGGATTCATCAGGCAATCTTCTTCTTGGATGTCTTCACACGGAGCTTGACTCGGGGGAATGAAGTTGAAGACACCACTGCAGCTGTACTTTACCACCATTATGTTTCATTTTTCGTACTTACCTTCATATTAATTTTATCAACCATAAGTACAGCTGCAGTGGTGTCTTCAACTTCATTCTCACTGACTTGTCAGTTTGAATACTCTGGCAAGGTACGATCGGGCCATTTGGATTTGGACAAAAATCATTGCTATCAGGTTCGGCCTCATTTTCCTTTGTACTGCGCTGATGAGTCTACAAAGGACGAAACAATTCTGCCCGCAGATTGTTCACTCCATATCCGATAGAATGGCTTTTCGCAATGGCAGAGTTGACTGGAAATTCACCTTGAAGAGATCGCGCAGAAACTGGTTTGCAAACAAATGCCTATCGAGTACTGGGTACCGTGGTGAAGAGTGTATAGATGTCTTTTGTTTCTGGCAGTAACTAGTGTTTAGTCTCCGAGAAAGGTAATAAATGTTACATTTCCGAAAAAGAACATAAAACCGATAAGTGTCAGTTTGTGTAGATACTTACGCATGAACCAAACATTTCGTCTGAAGGTAGTGCAGTGCTTGAAAAATTTGCCACATGAGTGGCTGGATATCCTCCTCGAGCGGATTGTACTTGTAAAGGGACTTGTAGTTATAAGCCCATTGGGCCAGCGTGCAGCCTTCAATCCTCTCGAAGAACAACACTGCATACCCGCTAGTTTGCGCCGCTCCAAAGCACGCCACGATGTTTGGGTGGCGGAGCTGCAGACAAACTCGGGCCTCCTCGATGACCAAGTGGTGATTTTCGTCTCCCTTGTCTATCATCTTAGCCACAATCTGAAGAGAATGCATGCCCAAACAAATCCCGTGACGGGTTATGGTAAAAAAAGGAATAGAAAGTCACGAGACGATCCGGCAAACAAAATGCAAACTTTCTCTGACCCTGCGTTTTGTTGCAACGAACGCATACTTATTTTTTTGCCATAATAAAATAAATATAGAAAGAATAATCTATACTAACCTCTTATACTAAACTCTGGGTCACTCCAAAGCTAAAATATTTTGCAACACGAATGCTATGTTTAAATGATGTGCAGTCTGATTCAATTATAATTACAAGTACATGTATACTATGCATGAACAGCCCATATACCCTTGCATTGTGCACATAGGCGTGCTCTGATTCGAATGATCACCGTGATTTCATTTTTAGCACATGCTATAAGTCGACAACGTACGGCCTCTGCTCCAGGTAGCGAAGCTGGACGGACCTCTGCGAAGCCACCTTCGCCCAGAAGATCATCATCATCAACTGCGATCCTGATGGATCCGTTCATAAGGCCCGTGGTCTCATTGTAGTGAACCTCCGGGCCGAACAGACTGTCGGGCAAGCCATGAACAGGGGCACTGCAGCAGGCCATCTTGACCGCTCTTTTTTCACCGAAAGCAGGACGGAAGAAGGGCCTGCAAGAAGATGTGAACCGAGAGAAAAATATATTCTTTCACATGTTATCCCATCCCAAACTATTAGATTAAACACAAAAGGAAGGAGAGAGAACACCTCTTTCTGTAGATTGTGCTAGCTTGTGCAAGTCAACTGGCCCCGCCACCACTTCTCGCACATATTCGGGAATATAGTGGACTTTCATCTAAAAAAAACTCACCTTCGAAATTAAAAAAGGTAACCGCCAATCATAGCCAGGAAAACTCATTCCAATCGACAAAGGCTAAGCAGTCTCTAGCGAACCTTTTATACACGCCCTAGTGTGCACATCTGCATTGTACATGTACAAATAATATGTGTAGCATGCAGTGAGGGCCTCACGTGTTCCTGATAGTTATACGCCAATACTGGGATAAAACGCCCAAGCCAGTCACATGACCCATCTTGCCCATGTGTATACTTTTAAGAGAAAGCTCATCTTAGCAGCAGGGGAGAGGTGAGCATCCACGGCATACATCCTTTTGTTTATTTCGTGTGTTTGCAAGGATTGCCGCAGCACAAGCTATTGATCAGCAATATTTGCCTCACTGAGGTCTAAGCTACTGCACACCTCAGACTATGAATGTTCTATCATCTCGGCTCAACTTTCCCCTTCGACAATGAACATAATTATATAATTTTTTTTATTAAGGCATTGAAAATAAAGTTCTTGTGGCTCTCTAGTCGACAAGCTCAAGTTCGGGCCATTTTACCCGCTTCCTAGGGTGGCATGACCGTGTTCCCTTCTTTAGCTTCGACAGTTCGTCTTTTTTTTCCGCCACAGGATAATCACGGACTCCTCCACTTCGAACTTTCTAGCAGCTTCCCCGTTTCCATGGTGCTCCGCGAGTATTACTGCAAATATCTTTTCCTTCGCAGAGTAGCTTCCCTTCGGCATCATGGGAGTCAGAGCGCACGATCAGCAGAGAGCGACAAGAGCTCTAGCAAACCATATCACGTAGTGCCCGTAGGCCCAAAAAGCTCGTTTTTAACTCACCTGGTCGTATTTTTTCATCCCTTTTCCTGCAGAAAACTGGTTCTCTTTGGAATTGTCTTCCACCCCGATTGACAACTTTAGATTCCCTATCTGAATTCAAGCGTCATTTACGTATTCACATTGCTAAGTATCAGTTCGACTGCACTGGTACACCTTTGATGTGCAATCATTGATTTACATGCTTGTTCTTTTCTTTTCTGTCTTACTTTCTTTCCTTGTGTTTCTTATTATTCCTTTTACCAACATTCACACTCACTTTGCGCACTTTCTCTCGCATCCATAACTATGTTACTAGTACATACACAAATAGGAGATCCCCCAGATAGGCGTTAGCCTTTGGGTAATCCTGAAATAAAGATTATTATTATTATTATATTAAACTTGTATTGCGTTGTTCTTCACTCAGAACTGAAAACTTGCAGCGCTGAAGTTCCTCCTTTTATGTGAAGTGACATAGGATCGATAGTCGTACTCTCTCAGCTCCACAAAAAGTAGCTGCTCCAGAATTCGGTTTCGGAGTGGTCAGAACATGTTCAGAACATTCCAAAACCAGTGAAGACCAGTGCAGACAAACCACACGCCCCCCTGGTCTAAACGATCTTGTACCGGGCCCGGGAAATCAGATAGACCCTAAGAAGCCGCAGGGGCAATCGTTAACGTTTTCACGCGTTGTATTCTCATTCCAAGTTTAGGTGCCGAAACGGAACACAGGGTTATATTTTCAGTATGTTCCCCGCAATCTGAGAAATTTTATAATTACCAGATTGCGCAAACCAGGCACTGCAAAACCGCGTGCTTGAGCTTCTGCGAGACTTTTTGGAGCACACCCAAGTACGTGTGGTGCGAAGTTCCCGCGTGTGGCTCGTGCAATGTGTTGTTTTCTCCCAAAAACCTGAAGAGCACGGCGAATTCATGTGGGGCACAGTCTGCGGGTACAATCTGTGGATTTCGTTAAAAATCATGAAGATCACAGCGAATCCACGTGGGGGGCAATCTGTGGATTTCGCTGCTAATCATGGAGAGCACAGCGAATCTGTGTTGGGCGTAACCTGTGGCTCGAGTTCCCTAAAAAAAAAGCGAGGAACACAGCGAATTCACTAAGGACGCAGTCTGTGGGTTTCTTTGAAACTAAAACATGAGGAGTGCAGGTAATCCGTTTTTAGGGACATCGGGCCACGGATTGCCGCCACACGGAGTCACTGTGCTCTTCATGATTTTCAAAGAAATCCACAGATTGCACCCACGGACTGCGCTCCACATGAATTTGCAGTGCCCTTCAGTTTGTGAGAGAAATCCACACATTGCAACAAAGGCGCACGTGAATTTTGCACCACACATGCTTGGGTATCGCTTGTGCTCCCAGAAGTCTCGAAGAAGCTGAGGCACGCTGATTTACCGTGCCTTGTCTCATGCCACAATTATTATCGTGTCACCGCGCAGGCAATCTGCGCAATCTGGGAATTATCGGATTGCGCAAATTCTCAGATTGCGCGGAACAGGTGTCTTTGTTTTCCTTTATGCTATCTCTCTGACAATCCAGGTATTCCTCAACAACTAGGTATCAGAGGGGATCAAATTATCTGGGTTAGACGTTCATGATTCGTTTTTGATTTGATATCGGAAATCATGAGTGGGGTCGGTTTGGACGCCAGAAAACTACTTGTGGTGCACCTTGCGCTGTTCTGGTACAAGCCAGTCGCCGATGATGCTCACTTTGACCACAGAAATAGGACATAAAAAAGGCCACGACCTTCTTGTCACAACAGGCTTTCTGAGACTGTTGAGGATGTACATGAATACGACTGGGGTCCAAACGGACCCCTATGTACTGGAAACCTATGAAAAATGTCAAGATTGAATATTGGTTATATATGATGCCGAATTTCCGGCCGCCAGTGATTGTGTATTTCCTCTTCAGCGCCCATGGCATTCAGCTCGAAGCAAGTAACATAGCTGCTACGTTTCAACTCTACCATAATTCATCTTTGAAGGCGGAATGAAGAAGGCAACAAACTTGAGCGAGAGAGGGAAAGCCAATTGACTCGTGTGAACATTTCCTTGCAAGGATAGCCACTGGTGCAATGTTCGTTGTCAATGAGAGTGCGCGTATCTTTACGTTTTGGAGCACGGTTGCTCTGTTTCGCCAGTTACGTAGTGCTCCACAAACACCTTGTGAATGCTGGATAGCAGCACTAGTCAGTATCAACCAACTATGTATTGAGGTGACATAACTCGCGTAATTTTCTGGCGCTACACTCTACGTATTTATAACTTTTAGGCAACAGCTGTCTTAGTTTTTTTTTTATCTTAGTTTACTCCACCAAGTGTACAGGCATTTCTGCCTTCTCACCAGGTCCGGAGACCTAGTTCTGACAAAATGATGAAACATGTATGTATAAAATGAATATCATGCAGAAGGTTATAATTATGAAAGCGGATAAAAATTATTGAATCACCATTATTGAAAAACTAACTTAAAGAAATAACACTAAGAACAACAGTAGTGAAATTTACAAGTGTGAATTTTAACAATGAAAGGGAGAACAATAACGAATGCGTGTACTAGCAATAAACTTGCATCTGAAAAATGAACAAAGAAGAGAAAGAAAGAATCTGTCAGCGTCTGTATAAGCCTAATCTGTGCATACAGAAAGATAGTATAATTGGGTTGAAATTGTTCAAGTAACGTGTAATGTTTGGTGCGGCCAAGCTTGGTCGTTAATGTTCTAGGTGTAATGTAGTGCTGTTATTTGTTATCACTTTGTCCTTCTTTATTTCTTTCTCTTCTTTGTTCATTTTTTCAGGTGCAAGTTTATTGCTAGTCCACGCATTCGTTATTGCTCTCGCTTTCATTGTTAAAATTCACACTTGTAAATTTCACTGCTGTTATTCTTGGTGTTATTTCTTTAAGTTAGATTTTCTATAATAGTTCAATTTTGTTTTCAGTGTCCTTTAGATCAACGAAGATTCCTGATGAGTGTTGTACGAAATTTTGTTTGAATCCTCATTTTCTCTACACCATTTCTTCACATTTTCATCGTTTTATTGCACATTGTCTCCACAGTTTTACATTACATGAATAAAGTGTACACAAATGTCGATCCAGCTTGTATTACTGATTGCGGTTATCAAATTGTTGTCTCCTCGCTGTTTGTTCAAATAATAATAATAATGTTTCTTCAGAAATCCCAAACTCCATTTCAGCGTATTTCTTGCACTTGAAAACACCGCCATTCCGACAACAGGCTCTCATCAGAACATATTACTAAAAGAAATAACCGGGGCAGCAGGAAATGAATATGTAGTTCTCTTTGTGAGAATGCACCATTGCCTGTTTGGTTGAACGACTATAAATAAAAACACAACATCATTTTTTGTGTTCATGGGTAGTTGACATTCTTGAGACGTTTTTAGTATGATGCAGATGGCATTACCATTGGCTAGAAAATTCTAGAACTCATGATTACTTTGCTACTGCCATGAATGAAGTCGAATTCTCATGAATGAAGTCAGATTCGCAGAGTCTGTTTATCGTTGTTCGTGGTCAGGAATGCTTAAGCTGCAGACAACAAAACATTCTTAATAAATATAAATAAGTATATACATAAGAGTGTGCATGAATGAAATATCAAGAGAGGCTGACCGAGTACAGCGCAGTAAAATTAAAAGTGATGCTGCTAAAACGTTTTTTGGCTAAAACTCCTGCAAGCGCTGGTGGAAACGACCTCGCCACATTTCCTATATTTTCAATGCATTTTGACCTGTTCACCATAATCTCGGAGTGATACGCCCGAGCGATTGCAGAAAAGGCGTCCTTGATAAAGCTCTGAAAGCCACGACCCCCTAAAATAGCTTTTTTGTTTATTAAAAAATCATTATGGGTGTAGGACAACGACCATATAATGTGAATGCGTCGACGACTGCATTGGTGTTGGCTGTGG